CGCAGAGGTGAGGGAAGGGTGCAAGAGATGAAATCTGAGGTGGCATTGGCCAGATCGTATAGGGCTTTTGGGGCTGTTGTATGAGATGGAAGAGCAGTAGAGTATAATGTATATTTTAAGTTGAGAAAAGATTAGAGAGAGTCCGAGGCGAAAGGAAGGAGACCAGTGGAAGATAATCCAGTTGAAAGATGTGGTAGCTTGGAGCCAGCTGGTAGCAGCAGTCAGATTTCGATATATTCCGAAGTTGAGACCAGTCATTCGCTGACGGTGATGGCATGGTGGTAGGGGAGGGGAGGGGGAACAGCAGGGAGAGAAAGACAGCCATCAAGAGCCAAGGTGGTTCTGTCCTTATCACCCCCCGCCCCCCACAGTCCATGTGGAATTGCCATTTTCTGAGGTTGGGAAGATCATAGAAGAGCAGGTTTAGGGAGAGGAGGTTTGCATGTTGGGAGGTTAGTCTGCACCTGCTCTCTAACACGCCAATTAGACCTCTAAGTAAGGACACTGAACAGTTGGACATTATGAGTCTGGAGTTGAGGGAGAGAGGTTAGGGTTGAACTGAAGATCTAACTTTGAGAATATAAGCATAAATTAACTGTAAGAAAGCCCTTTGTATATTAATAACAACCAAAAAGACTAGTGAAGAAACAATTGGACCCCACCCACATACTGGTCAGCAGTGTTTACCTTTTTCTACATAATTCGTTCTCTCTGTCATCAATTAGTTTTTGGCTCTTAGCTTTCTTTTCTTTCCCTTTCTTGAGTCTCATTTTCTCTTTATTTCCTTTGTGTGCCTTTTATGTCAGAGTCATTCCATGGTCATCAGAGCGCTGGCTCGGTTTCAGGAATATGATAGTCATTATCATTTTGGCCTTTCCTCCCTATTTCCTTTGTCTCTGGCTGCAGTAAGTTTTTCATCATTAAAATATTTTAGCTGGATTGCTGGAACACTGCAGTTTTTTGAATACATTAAGCAAATTGCTTACTCTGAAGATTTGTGAGAATGTGGTTACAAAGGGTGATATAATCATAAAGCAGATGACAGTGATTCAGCCCATTCTTCCTGTTGTTGTCTTCTTCATTTAGCATTTATAAACACTCTTTTCTTTGTTCTAAAGGATTTCTATAGATTGTTAAACCACCACTTGCATCTCCCATACATTTATTAATATATAAACTAGAAAGCACATTAATCTCCTCTTTCAGATTCTTCACTGTAAATCTCTTAACATTTTTACTCTTTTCCTGGCCAATTTTATTCTCTACTTTTTTTAAATTCCAAATTTTTCTGTAATCATACTTGGCGTTGTTTTGGAGAAGCAGAACTATGACAGGTCCACCCTTCAGCACAGGGATAATAGAGCAGCAGTCAGCCCGTCTTTCTCTGAGTGAGGTTAATTTGCTTCTCTCCCTAAAGACAAGATGGGCTTCAGCTGGAGCTGCTGGCAGCACTTGGATGTGAGAAACTGTGGCACCTGTGGTCTCTGTGTTTGTAGAGAAAACTTGAAGTGAGCTCCAGCAAAAAGCCACTTTTTAATACTGTCAAAACCTATCACATTCAGAGTGGGGAAGCTAAAGTAAAGTCTGTGGATGTTCATTTTAGTTGATGAGTACCTTTGAGTCAAAAACAATTCTTTGAGTATTTAGAAAAAAATTCCAAGCTTTATAAGTTGTAGGTTTTTGCATATTTACCTTCTAGCTTTGATGGTGCATAGTCATTGGTGAAATGTTATGTCTTCTGGCCTACTCGGTTATGGCCAGGGGCTTGACAGCATTAGTTCATGCCTGAGGGATGGTAAATGTCAGAATCAATCTGGGCCTTTACTAACTTCCTTTCTCTCCCCTCCCTGTTATCCACTGCCTGGAAAAACAGGACTGCAGGCACAGTTCACAACAAGCTGTGGTACGCCTCTCTGGCCCTGGTGACACTCATCATGTATTCCATTGCCGCTGGAGGCTTGATTTTCATGGCAGTATTTTATACACAGAAGGATGGTTGCATGGAAAACAAAATTCTCCTGGGAGTGAACGGAGGCCTGTGTCTGCTCATTTCACTCGTAGCCATCTCGCCCTGTGTACAAAATCGTAAGCACAATTTTTTTTTATTTTTTATTCTTCCTTATTTCTAAGTGTCTTTGAGAAAACTTAGTTAAAACAAAATTATGGTCATTCCTTTACAACGTGGATGGGTCAGCAATAGGAAAAGTGGGACTACAGTTCCCTCTTCATATCCCACGCTTGGGCTGAATGTGATTGTCAAGCATGCATCATGTCAAGAAAGATCTGATCATAATGAAGTCAATAAAACAGAGAGATAGATATTGCTATTATTAAATAGTGTACTACAAGGAGCTTTTAAGTGGAAAATGCTCTTAGTGTATGTTGAGTGCTTCTCTATAATATCTGTGTAAAACCTGTAGAGGGAGCTGTTTCTGGAGTCATCGATCCGTGGACTCAGGATCCATGGACCAGAACTCAGAGACACTGTGCTGTAGGAATCAGGAAGTAGAAAATGCAGTCCCGGCTCAGCCAGGAGCTGGCCCCATGGGCTTACCTTCCTTATACCCTAGTCCTTCCTCAGCAAAGCCAACAGAAACCTATGAGCCTGACCTTGCTCATGGTTCAAAGCCAAAAGGAAGAGAAGATAGGATTTGAACATGCTTTAGAAAGTGTAGGTATGAATTCTTTTTTAAATGATTTTTGATATCTTAAGCCAGTATGCTGTCTTTGGTTATAGAGAGAATTGTCCCTGATTTCATGTTTCTTGTGGGTGTCTTACTGTACAGATGATGAAAAAGCACACAGCATTTAGGTTTCTAGATAAGAAAAGGAAAATATGGCCAATAAATTTATTGCCCCTTGAATCCTTTTTAAATGTTGATTTAAAAAGGAACTAGTTTTGAATAATTTGAAAGTTTTTCTATTATCAAAAATTTCAAATCTGTTATTGAAATTGAGAGTATTATTCTTCCAATCTCTTTAATTGGTTAGTTAAGAATTTCCTAAAACATTATTAGTATTCAGATTAAAATATCTTTTGGGTTAAATCCTACCTTTTGAAATAGTTATCATATTTTGAAATATTTAGTTTAACATCATTAGTTGTTAAGGTAAGTCTTATTCTCATACCAAAGAGCAACATTATAAAAGGGTACATTTCAATAACTTTATTGGCCATTGTAATTTAATAATTCTAGAAATAAAATCAGAAGAATGAGTAAAACGAAATCCTTTTATGCCAGCAAGTGGTTGAGAATTTCACCAAAAAAAGATAAATCCCTTTTATCACGTCTTGGTTACTCTCAATGATCTAAACACTGAGTTTAGTTGAAATGCTATAACATTAAAGCTCTTCTCCCAACACGTGCTGCGCCCCAGAGCCTTCCTCTTTGACCTGGACCAGCTCTGGTGTTCCCAGAGGTCTTTTTGTCCATTGACAGATGTGAGCTTTTCCCACCGCCAAGGACTATACAGTGTCTGCTGGCCTTAGGGAGTCTGGAATCCATGGCCTATGAAATTGGCCATACCCCACCAAGCCATGTGATCTCAGACATAGTAATAGTAAATTTTCTTCTGAGATCTTATGATTTAAGATCTAACGTTATAAATCTCAGGGAATCAGGCAGTATGTTTAAGTACGGTTATAACTAGTATCAGAATAAGGTGTTGGTAGAGAACTTGGCAGAACTTGGCATCTCTAAAAATAGCAGTTAGGGTCAGTAAATAACTCCCTCCCCCTAAATCTTTTTAGCGTTATCTGAGAAACATGTTATGTACCTCTTCTTTCCTTTAAAGGCAGGGGTCCAACTTTGAGGAATACCATTTGGGGGATGGGGAGACTCCTTATTTTAAAGCACGTGCTTTCTTACCATTGAAATTTAAAACATTCTTAAAATCTGTCTCTTGTCGTTTTCCAGGACAGCCACACTCCGGGTTATTGCAGTCAGGTCTCATAAGCTGCTATGTCACGTATCTCACTTTCTCAGCTCTGTCCAGCAAGCCTGTAGAAGTAGGTAAGTTGGCCTCACAATATGAATATTTCCATTTGTGGAGGAAGGAAAATGTCTCTGTGAGCTATTGTTTAGATATCAGGGATTCAGTAAATCAAGCCGAGCCTGTGTTTCTTCAGGAGTGGTGTCACAGGCAAAGTTGCAGGTAAAGGTGCTGGGAGTTGAACCCAGGGCCCGATACATGCTAAGCGCATGCACTTCCACTGAGCTACACTCCTGTCCTTACTTGCAATAAATCAAAATAGAGAGATGATTTAGACTTTTTTATTAAGTAAAGTCCTTAAGGTGGGATATGAAAATACCTTCTTTTGAGTCTTCCTGCTGTGTAGGTAAGACATGAATAAAAGTGGGCTATTGAGTTTTTAAGGCCTAATCTGCATTTACTGGAGCTGTTTTCAAGGAACATTTTTATTTTGCTTAGTTTTATTTTGTTTGTGTTTTTAGTTGGTCGTTAATTTATTTTTCTTCATGTGGTCATTTTTCTGACTGTAACAGAGAGGAGTGGAAAGAACGTGGGAGCGGGCAGCAGGGGACAGGATTTGAGCCCAGCTCAACCCTTTGCTGGTTATGTGACCTTGAATTGCTCATCTTAAGTAACATTTATTTATAGAGACAGCACAACATGCATGAGCTTTAGATTTGGACTGCTTGTGTTTATAGCCTGGTCCTGCTGCTTTAAGTAACTTGTACAAAGTTACTTACCTTTCTCTGCTTAGATAACTCACCTTTAAAATAAGGATTTTAATTATTATTTTAACAAGATGATTAAAGATTACTATTTTATAAGGTGGTTTCTAAGAATTCAATGAGTACGTGTATATATGTATATATGTGTACAGTTTCTAGCATGTATTAGGTGCTATACACGGTTAGCTGTTATTATTGTAAAGTAGTTGCAATGATTATTTGAGAACTATAAAAGCACAATTATAAGGTGTTACTATGTGAGCCCCTGTGCCTCACCAGTAAAAGACCAAATTTTCTTATTTTGATTTCCAGACTTGTTATAATTTATTGTCTTTATCACTTTTGTGATATATAAAGTGTATACACATAGTGTGTATAAATGTGTGTGTGCTTGGGTACATTTGATCTTGTATAAATCAAGTTAAATAAATGTAATCTCTTTTCTCTAGAATAGAAAATTGAGATAGCTTTTATGTTTTTAAATTTAGAAAGCAAATGCAAAGATAATTTGAAGGTTTAGTATATACACATACTATGAATGAGTCTTGTCTTTATGGCTATTTATAGTGCAAAACAATATAATTATAGGCCTTATATTAAGTATAGTTTCTTCTGGATATAATTTTTTTTAAAAGTTCTATATTTACTCATACGTTTATTTAAATCTAGTACCTTTAATTTAGTACTTTTATTTACGTTTTATTTAATTTAGTACTTTTATTTACGTTATTATACGTTAATTTAATCTAGTACCTTCTATATTTACTCATACGTTTATTTAAATCTAGTACCTTAAATCTAGTACTTTATGACCGTTTATGTATTAATCTCTGGTTTTAACTTAATGGAGGTTTGTTACAGTAGTTTACTTTTTATTGGCAGGTATCACTTTAAAACAAAAAAACTTTTTAAATTTAGGTGGTACTACTTAAATAGCAAAGTTCATATTTTGGTCAATTTTTTTTAAAAATATTTTTTATTGGCCAAAGAATAAAGTTTCCTTAAACCACAGCGTACACAGTTATACTGTTTCAAGTGTTAGTACCAGTAATAATTTTAGTGCAATTTCAAATGCATGTTTCTAAAATAGTTTCTAAGCTGTTATTTTATGTTTATGTCCCTTATTTTGGGGCAGAGCTAGAAATCAGACCTAGCTCGAATGTTCAAAATTGAAGACTGACTTCTCTCATCTGAGTGGAGACTGTGGGCAGATGGCTGTGACACTGCTGGTACACGTTTGGCTATTGGGTACCCTTGTCACACCTCCAGAGAAGACAGACAGGGAGGGAGTGCTCAATTATCTGTACACTATCTCTGTTCAGAGGCTGCCAGATCAGCTAAAAAATGGATCTGAGTTTCCTTTTTACTGTCATTTGAATAGCACTAAAAAAGCAAGACTCTTACAAGGCCCTGGATCTGAAGAACCCTTCAGCACTAAGCTGGAATCTGAGGGTCTTATTCTCAGAGGGTGCTGAGGTAGGAGAGGGGTGCTTTGCTGCAATAGCAACAGTCTAGTCTGAGATGAGTCAGACCGTAGAGTAGATGTTTCCAGTGATGTCTTTACTCTTCTAAACTATTTGAATATTTTCAAAATGACTGCTTCTGTAGGTTGCAACAGGCTTTTCTAATTTGACTATGATTACTTTGTCTTTTCTTTACAAGTTCTAGATGAACATGGGAAGAACGTTACGATCTGTGTGCCTGACTTGGGTCAGGACCTGTACAGAGACAAAAACTTGGTTACTGGACTGGGTACTACTCTCTTGTTTGTGTGCATCTTATATTCATGGTAAGTCTTAGGAGTTACCGGAAGCCGTCTTTGCAGACTTTAAAAGTACAGGAGAATTTAAATAAATTCTAGCAGCTGTGAGGCAGCAAAACAGATAACAATCTGAAGAAGAAGGAAAACAGAAATAATAGGTGTTTGGACTTCATTTGCCATCCTTGTTTTTATATAGGGTAGATCAAGTAAGTATATAGTATGTTGCAACCCTTTAAAGGAGGGTTGAGTATTACTTGCCGAAGTGTTATTGGAGGACAAGGGAGCACAGAGTGAGAAAGAGATGGTATGTGCCAGAATGTTTGGGCAGCTTTCTAATCCAAGGGAAATACCATTCGTTCTGCTGTTGATGGATAGAGTACAAAGCACTACATGCACGGTCATTTCATGCCTGGTCCAGGAAAGACAGGAAATGTCCTTTTCTTTTATGCTAAAATAATGCTGTTAAGGAGGCGAGGCAGCTCTAAAAGTAGGTGTGATAATGTAAGCAAGCTGTATTTCACTTGCTTACAGTGGGGTTTATTCCACCTTTGAAATGATCAAAAGATTGCCAGAGGGAGAAAAGTAAAGGATACAAATGGTTGTTTCTTATTCTGGGTACATATTTCACTGATAATTAAGCTTCCTTTTGACAATAACCTTTTCACTTTAGGTTTTACTTATGTGTTCTATGTTTTCTTTGTTATGTTTCAGTGTATAAAAATTTCAGCTTTCATAGGCACATTATAATCTTCTTTGGTTGAAACTAAACAATATTGATGATGATAGCTTGTATAAATAAAGCATCTTTCTGAGCACACTGGCATTTTTTTCTCTTATAGCTTCTAGTGCCCCCTAATCTAGAGATGGACCTACAGATATAGACAATTTAAACTTTTAAAAAGTACTCGTTCATAGTCACACATCCAGCCATAAAACACTTGCTTGTGTTGTAGGTAGTTGTTATAATGAAGGATGTATGACATTGATTCTCAGTCTATCTTTGACATAGTGACACATTCTCCTTGTTGCACCAGAAGGGACCGTGATGTGCAAACACACAGACCCAGGGAAAAGCCCCGAGACTGAAAATCTGCCTCTGTAAGTGGAGGTCAAGAAAAGACCGAATAAAGAGGCTGGCTACTCCCTTTGGTAATTAATAGAGTTTGTTAAGGGAAACTTACATACGAAGCATGTCTTAGGTGATCGTAAGACGAAGATCCCCGCACTGCTTGGTAGGTGCCCAAGAATTCTATACGGCAAAGGGGGGATGGTCATGGCATAGTGCGTGGATGCTACCAGGTCTGGAAATTACTTAACATGCTTAAGCAGGTCAGGACAGCAACCTTTTTCAGGACCCAGCACACAGCAGGGGGCAAGTAGGGGTTCTGATTTATGTTAGAATGAGCATCAGTTACCGTCAGACACTCTCTAAGGGGGATTTGCAGAAAGCACCCTCCGTTCTGGCCCAGGTCCAGCTTGCAGGACAGACAGTGGTCACGTCTTGGAGACCTGTCTCTCTACACATGGGGACCACTTTCTGGTCTTTCATTTTGATTAATTCCATAATTGTTCACTGAGTGCCTACTATATACAAAGCATTCGATAGGATTTGGGCTCAAGTCAATGAATGTTTTCAGGAAAACCATAAAAGCACCCAAGTTTTGAATCTTGAGTCTCAGCTCTTCCTTATTTAGAAAGCTTTTCCTTCCGGAGTCTGTCATAGGGCTTTGGGGAGAAATGGGAGCAACATGGCTAATTTCCTTTGTCACTCAGTTTTTTTCTGTCTTGGCATATAAAAAATATTGGTAAATCAAGTGAGGAGAAAATAGGTTACTAAACTGTAAATATAGAATTTTTCTTTTTTAAAAATAAAATATAGTTGTGTTTACATATGTAAAAAATTCTGGGAGGAGATAAACCACATTTGTAGTAGTGGTGACTTATTTTTTTCTCTTGCTCTTCTGTTTTCTTTTTAAAAATTATTTTCACATTGAGCTAGCATTTCTTTTGTCTTTTTATTAGAAAAAAACTATCAAGATATTTGAAAGAATAAAACCATAATAGCAAGTGAAAGAAAAATGTTTGCCTCTCAGTTAAAATGGGGCCTGGATTTGCTATATAAACCCACCAATGGAAAGAAGACAAAAATTCTACCTAGTCTGCTGCTAGAATTGCCACAGATGGCATTATTTTGCAGCATGGGATTTTCACCCTATCAGATTTTCACTACCACCCTTCAGTGAGAGATGATAAACAAAACATCGGCCTCTTCTGGAATTTAGAGGTACCGTAGTGGAGGGTGGTATGGTGTAGTCTGATAGTCCCCAAAGATAACATATTTCAAAGACGACAGCTGCTACTTAAAATCTGTCTAAATCCCAGTAACGAACATTCTTGAATCATAGTAATTAAACTGCAAAATCGTAGCGCCCGCCGGAACGAGGAGAGGGAACGGCAACTACACCAAGTGGAGATGCAGGGTAACCAGGTAGTGCTGGGGTGTTTGGGTCTGGGTGACTAATGTTTGCTGCAGTCATCCACTGCAGCTCCAGGAGGAGTCAGCTTTGAGAATATTATAGTCAAGCATTGGAACTCACTGGGAAGTGAGTTCAGGCCTGGTAGAGCCTTGAAAAAAGGGAATGCTGCCAGGGATGGGAGGCAGCCCAATTAGGGGTTTTTTAAATCTTGACCTCTAGAGTCTACGTTTTCCTCTCAAACTTGGAGGAATGAAAGTTTGGAAGATGTTACATAAAGAGGGTGAGTGCAAGCTGTCATTTGAACATGACTGCAGGAATATCTAGAATTCTTGATAAAAATTGTAGGAAGCTGAAAGACTGGGGTGTGTATACTAAAGGGAGAATAAGTCATCTATTTTCAATGAAAATCTGCGCTTGTTGGGGCCGACTTCTGTAGGGGCCTCACTGTGCTGTTTTCTAACCCCTTAGAATTTCCCCTAAACATGTCCCCCAACACACACACTTCTTTAGAGGGATCATATGATGACCTCCATCCTGTTTCTGATTCTCTGTTCCAAATCTTGCTTCTGACACACTCAGTGTGAGTATATTTCACTCTTTGCTGTCTCAGCTTAGGAGAAGGGCTCAGCCAAAACCCATTCTCCGGCTTTCTGACTGAGGCCACCCTTTCTCCAGAAGCCCCTTCCATAGTTCCCAGGCATTATGGCTGTGAAGAAGAGTCACAACTTGAACCCCATGTGGGAGTTCCCCAGTGGCTCATTCTGTAGGCTGATCTCCCTACACCCCCTAGGCCTGGTTCTTTTGTTGTGACAGGCCTTGCCTCTGCCAACTATTCCTTAATTCCCTCCTTGGTCTCTGGATTTTAAAATTATTATCTATTGGTTTCAAGTTCAAGCTGTCAGACTGGACAGGATCCTGGAGTCAGATTCAATCCTTCCTTGTACATAAAAGGAAACAGGCATGGAACTTACTCCTGTAGCTCTCCATCCCCAATTTCAGGAAACCTTTCCTCGAGTCTCCTTTGTTGGGTTATTTGTAGAGACAAGTCAATTTTTTTTTTTCCTGTGTTGGCTTGCAGTAAGTTTTATACTTTACTGAGGTAGAGAGATAAGCTAGATGACTCGAATAATTATGTTATTGGGAGGCATCTGTGCTGTAAAACATTCCCTAGCTACTTCAAATTCCTAGACAGCTTAAGTAGTAAACATATTTTCTCTTAAACTAAAATAATTAAAACTGAATACAAAATTGGAAAAACTAAGAACCTTTATTAAATGTCAAACAATTTGCTTGTTCAAATGAGACATTCACAAGAAGGTGCCAGACCCTGTGAAAATAGGTACAGGGTTGACAAGACGGCATTGGAGAGAAGATCGGCTTAAACAGAAAAGTTGGTATACCAGGGAGCGGTGTCTTCTTTTGGTGTCTTCTGGGCCTGCTACTTTTATTTAAGAAAAACAGGAGGCAGAGGGTTTGTTTCTTTATTTTGGGAATCTTGCCACTTTCTAACCTGCCAGCTAGAAATCCTCATGGCTGTGCACCAGTGGCATGCTGGCACTGCCCCCCAGCTCAGGTAGGACTGTGCCTCCTGAAGGAGCTGTGAGTCATCAGTTCTGTGGTACAGTGGGAACATAATTGAACTTCATCACACAAAGACTGGGAATAGTCTTGCGGGGATCTCTTAAGGACCACCCTGTAAGTTTGTCAGGGAAGCAGAACCTGTGGTCTCCAATAGGAAAGTCTAGACATGGTTTTTAGAAATCTTCTGTAATCTGGGGGTATTTGGCCAGTTCCAAAAGCAACTGAAGCAGGTGCAGAGGGGCACCTGTGTTTCAAATCACTCTGCTAATATGGAAGAGGCTCTGGACATGGCAGTGCTTCTGGGGCTGGGGCAGAGGGCAGGAATCTTATCTTATTGGTTGTCACAAGGACTGTAAGGCACTGCTGGCTTTTTGTGATTGGGGAGCAGTTATAACAAACATGCTTTAGTGCATTTGGATATCTCTGTAGGGTGAAGCATCAGCCCAGTCAAAAACTGTTAGTCTCTTCCACACCCCCACCCCCACTGGAAGTTCTGGTTAAAGTCACTCGTACCTTAGCCCTAGAAAACAAGAGGTTATGGATAATCCAGGCATTGCTTTATAGCAGCTTGTCTGGTGCTAACCAGACAGATTGGTCAATAATAGCCAGAAAGCAGACAGCAAGAATTTCTCATGCTTTTTAAGAACCTGTAAAAACAATTTTTCTTGATAATTCGAAGAAGATTTTGCAGGGAAAGCCACAACTGAATAAAAACCTTATTTTATGGTAACGTATACTTATAGAAGTCACATGCCACTAATGATGAACTGAATATAGACATTTTTACAGGTCAGAACAAAAGCTCCCCTTATGTAGTGCTCTTTGATGGTGGAAGTGAAGCAGCAAAGATGCCAGAATCAAAAGCTTTATTTTTCTGAAATCATTTTATTGCAAAGAATTTATAAAATGGAATGTTTATTCTATCCCCTTTAAAGAGTGAATATTACCTTTTAGATGAAAATTCCAGATATTGATCTCTTCTTAAAATTAAAAGTTCTATTTTCCCCATGGAAACTGTATACTCTATTAAATCATAATTCATATGCACAAAATATAGCACACTGAAAAGCAGGAGCAAAGTGTATGTATTTCTTGTGTGCACAGCCATTGGGAAATGTTTGTATCATTCCCTTGACCAGGCTCAAAATCAGGAAGTGAGAGTGGAGTGGGCCTTGATTAGCATCAGTATGTTCAAAGCAAAAATGAAAGTGATGCTGTTGGTCTCAGAGTGGACCACAAAAGAAGTGATGCACTTGGATCCCAGAGGACCTTTTTATGGGAAAGGCTATTGATTTGCATCTCACTGATCTCATCTGTCTTTGGGAACGAGGACAAGAATGAGCAGAGGAAGGTAGTGTTGCCTCATGTGGTTTGTTTGTTTGAAAAGAGCATTAATTCCTGCCTCTCCGCTAGCCAACACCCTCACCCACCTCCAGGCTAGCCCGGAAGCTGTGTGAGGGCAGGGATCGTCTTTTTCACTAAGTTTCTAGTGCTTAGAACAGGGCCCGACACATGGCAGGCTTTCCGTAAATATTTGCTAAACGAATTTATACAGTTAATTGGAACCCTAAGTATTGTACATATTTCTATTTGCTTAAAATGTTTCCCCCTTTTTTCCAAGGAAAAGGAAATATTTTACCCCTGTAATCCAAATTTTGTAGCATTTTAGCTCTCAGGGAATAGGGAAAGTGGGGGGAAGTATTTATTTTAATCACACTGAGTGTTACTCCATGTTGAATTTCGAATCAGAAAACCTTGTTCTGCCATAGGCTGATTATCACATTAAATAACTGTGACCTTTGCTTTTCCTGCCTTTGCTTTTTCTTGTGATCTCTGGGGTCTTTCATTGCTTTTGATCTCTTCTAAGTGAGACTAGTCAAAGGGAGGGGAATGACAAGTGAAATTAGAAAATTATTTTGGCATTTGAGGGAGGAGAGGCAAATAACCAATAGTGAAAAACCAAGATAATGAAATCAAAAGGCATCTTATTTCTTTACCTACGAAGTTCTCTTTGCATAAAACCATCTAACAATCCATGTAAAAAGACATCAACTGTACAATCGGTCAGCGAGTTTTGGAATAAAGTAGATTTTAAAATAGACTATAGTAAAGCAGCGGGAATTGTAGGTTTAGGGAGACTCTCACCAGAGCATGGGCCAGGCGGTCCCGCCCACCCCTTGATGTACTATCACATGTCGATACCGTCTGCTGACCTTTGAATTTGTTTCCTAGTTTGACATCAACAACAAGATCGAGTTCTGATGCGCTGCAGGGGCGCTATGCAGCTCCTGAACAGGAAGTAAGTTCATTTCTTTTTCTTGTCCTGGTTCATCTCCAAAGACCCATTTTTTCAAGAAGGCTCTGTGCCACACCGCTGAGCGTTATCTATACATTAGCTTACTTAAAAGTTGGTTCCATTAGGTAGACATTGCACTAGGTAAAGAATTGTGACCAATAGGTGTCCAAAGAATCATGGTGGTCAGCAGAAGCCTATCAGTCAGCAGAATGTCTTCTTTTATTACTTGTGCAAAAATTGTTTTCTGGGGCCTTGAGTGGACTTTCTGCCAAGGTCTAAAGAGGTCTAAATAGGTGGAGGCAGCCAGGAGGAGACTCAGCCTTGACCCCAGGGATGGAAAGAACAGGAGTTTCCAGTGACAGCTAAGACTTGCAGTGCTTGCTATGTGCCAGGCACTGTTCTAGGCACTACCTATGCCATTTAATTTAGTCCTCATTAAAACTCAGGGTTTTATCTCCATTTTTGCAGATAGGTTAAACAGAAAAGGTTAAATTGTTTAAACTTGTGAATTTACCAGCATATAAACTGTGCATTCTGGCTCCAGAGCCTGTGTTCTCGACCACTGCTCAAGAGTTCAGCTGCTGTCTCCTGGCCCTGCTGGTGAGCTTGCCTGGCATCCGGCCCTGGCTACCTCCTAATAACTTTCTCTAGATGGAGGAGCCCTGGTATCTGATGGGCGCTTTATTCTGCAGCTGGGTCTCTGGGGATAGTCTTTCCTGCACCTGACCTGGAGAGAGTGATCCATTATGAAGGGTTGTCAATCTGCCAGGATCATTCACCAGCTCTTTCTGTTACTTGAAAAAAAAAAGAGAAAACTGTGCTGAGTCTGAATAAGTTACTGCCTATTATGCAGAAGAGAATGGTCTTCAGAAGGCAAGTGTTTATTCTCACCACTAACTGGGCAACCACCTGCTGAGGTTGTACCGTTATGATTTCAATATCCCTATTGTGTACAGAGTTAAAGTGCAAAGAACAGCAAGTCTCTAAGTTAGACTAAAGAGAGGATGTTTTTATTCTCATTCCAAGGAAAAAGTCTCAATGTTTATTTCTTAAGTGGAGATTGTACATGATGGAAGTTCTCTCCTTGCATCGTGTTTCACAGGATACACCTTTGAAAGAGTTAATAATAATTTCTTATGGTAACTTAAGCTTCAAAAGAACTAGGACCCCAGCATACAATGTCTCGGGCCCACTGAATGAATTGGTGAATCTTTGACTGTGTTACTTGATCCAAGATTCTGTCAAGGCCTTGATGTAAGAGGGAAACAAGGACATGGCCTTGAGGTGTATAAATGGGACAGAGACTCCAGCTCCCACATCCTTGTCCCTGGCTGTCTGTTCTTTGCAGTAAAAATATCAGCCAGAAAGGCCAAGGTCCCAGCACGTCCCAGACTCTCTTAGTACGTGTAGTGTTTCTCATTTGTTTACCAGAGTCCTTCTGAAATCAGGTAGTTTTTCATAACCCGATATTTTTAAAAATTAAATTTATTGTTTTGAGCAGGTCAGAAACATGGTACGAAATTTGAAAGGTACCAAAGACTCTTACAAGGAAAGCATTGCACCCATCCCTGCCCCCAGCACCCCTGCCTCCACAGAGGCAGCCAGTTCAATAGCCTGATTTTAGTAGGAATTGTGAGTAGGCTTCCTGCTTCCAGATTCCTTAGCTTTACCATTTCTGATATCTCCTAGATATCACATGCTACCTATTACTTCTTGTGAGGGACCCTGGAGTTCCCATTCTATAGTCATGTCCCAGCCCTGTTGTTAAACTGGTTGTGTGACTTTTAGGCCAGTGTGACTTTTAACCTGCCTGACCTTAGTTTCCTCAACTGTAAACAGGATAATAATCTCAGCCTCAGAGGTTGGAGAAGGTTTAATGAAGTAGTGAGTATAACAGAACACCAGGAGTGGGCTCCGTGAGAGTGGGGACCGTGTCTTGTTCACCTTGTGTTTCAGGTTGAGTTTTTCAGAAACAGCCGTCCAGGCAGAGTTTGATATGCAGGATATTCATTAGGGATCAACATAAGTGGAAGGAAGGATGGGGAAGGAGGCAGAATTGGGCAGAGGGTAGTGTCGAATGGTGCTGCAGGCTGGGCACATCTCTGCCAACCCCACACGTGAGTTTTCCAGGGCAGGTCAGACCCATCAGAGCTGTCCCCCAGGGGTCAGTGGCTGCTCCTTTACACCCCTGCTGTGAGTAGTCATTCCTGTGGTTGCCCAGGAAGGGCTTCCTCTTAGGCAGAGCAGCTCTGCTGCCAGGGCAAAACCTGGGAGCTGCCATCTAGAGACTATCTGCTCATGGCCCTTGCAGTAGCTGAGTGAGCACTAAGTGCGCATCTTTGAAGAAGAGCTGGCGGCTCACCTCCACGTCCATTGTATTTCTTACCACCAGCACCCAGCGCATCTGGGAAGAACAGATGCTTAGTCAAAACCTCCTGAGGGGATAAAGTGTGTAGTTCAGGGCCTGGGATGTAATTCAGATGGGGAAGGCTTGGCACGCAGGTGGCCTTTAGTGCTTTACTGATGTGGATGGAGAAAAGCAGAAGGCAAGCTGCCTGACTCTGTTGGTTTTGCTCTCCCAGGTAGCTCGGTGTTGCTTCTGCTTCGGTCCCTATGGAGAAGGTAAGTAGAGAACTTTCTTCTGTGCATCTGTGTGGCCCTGCAGACTTTTACCTCTCGTCTATAGGCATTTGGGATTCAGGTACAAAAAACTTGAATGGTAAGGGGAAACTTTTATTCCAAAGGCCGGTTTACTGTTTCTATACTTTTCACATTCTTCCCAAAGGTTTGCTGGGTTTTGTGTGTTTGTGTTGGTATTCTGGCAGGTAAGAAATTAGTCTATTTTGGCTCATATTTAAGTTATACAGTGGGTTTCAGAGAAGCAGAAAGTACATTTTAAAGTAATGAAAATTTGGAAAATGCCAGGAGGTCCTGATACCTTGTTTTGGACAATTTCTTCCCTTCGGCTTATTTTTCTTCTGGAATTGGAGGATCCCAGGGTCTTGAGAACTCCTGGTCTACTCACTTTATTCTGAGCTTATAATAACTTTTTTGTTTTCAAGGACTCTCTTTCTTATGCTCTGTTAAAATAAATGGGATGTTAGGTAACTCATCCAGCTAAGGAAGGTTCTGGGGTAGGGTGGAAGTTTTGTGCCTATGGCATAGATGTAAAATGGCCTGAGTGTACAAATGGCTTTTGACATCTTTTCAACTTAACAGCCCCTGGGGTTGAAATGAGTGTGTCTTTGTTCAAATGGTAAGTGTGCGTGTGTTCACTCATTGAGCTTCCCTGCTGGCTTTGTGGTTCACAGACACTGAAGAACAGCAGAATATGAAAGAAGGACCAGGGGTCATTTACGATGAGAAGAGAGGCACCGTTTATAGCTATTCCTATTTCCACTTCGTGTTCTTGTTGGCTTCCCTCTATGTGATGATGACTGTCACCAACTGGTTCAAGTGAGTGGCCCATTTCTGAGACGTTTTAAAGGGGCAGTCTTTTAAAAAGTAAGTTGAGTCCATTCTTTAAGGTGCTGAGGCATAGATTAAATCTCCTGGAGTCAACTAAACTCTTCTCCAAGTCAAGCTGTATTCACCTTTGCAAAAACAGTTCTGAGTTCCTAACAGTCTGTCGGCATGAAGTTGCTGATGCATACTGCAACTTTTCAAAAAGGAACGTTAACTGCATATGGGCAGTCTAGAAGAACATAGTAATGGAGGAAGCACTTGGAATTTTCAAGTAATCATTTGCTTTTAAGAAAGGGAAAATATTTTTTCTACTTTGCATTTTGGTTTTTTTGTTTTTACACTTTTGTTACAAAAGTTTAAAACATCTTTTAAAAAACTAATGAAAAAGTATCAAAAGTAACAGTGACCTCCCCGCCCCCACACCATTACCATTGCTAACAATATGGTCTGTATCCTTTCATTACGTTTCTATGCATTTACAAGCCTATGTAATTTTTGAAAATATAAATGTGATAACATATTTTTACTCCCTTGAGTTTTTTTTTTTTTAAGTTGGCTGTAGATGATGGACCTGACTTTCTTTGTTACCACATAGAGATTCTTTTTGAATCATACTCATTTTTTTTTTTATTCTTTGATCCAAAGTTTTTGTTGGATCATAATTTGTTACATGGCGGGATATACATAGGATAGACATTTAGACTCATTGCGCTTGCTTTTATTCATTCAACAAATATTTGAGTTCTATGTGCTACACTGTTCTAAGTGACAGGGCTTACATTCTAATGGGAGAGACAGACCATGCTCCAAATCAAATATAGCATGTCAGGTAGTGATGTTATTGGGGAGAAAAACAAAATGAAGAAGAGGAATGAGGAGGACCTCGTGGGATTGGGGGAAGCTTCACCGAGGAGATGCTTCTTGAATATCCTTCTGATGGAGAAGCTGGAGAGGGAGCTTCCAATGCTTAAGAAAAGATGGAGGGAGTTATAATTGGCCAGGCAGGTAATAACACGTTGTCAAGGGTGTGGAGAAATAAGAACGCTGTTAATGCTCCTGCTAGGATTGTAAAATGGCACAGCCGCTTCAGAAAACACTTTGGAAAATCCTCAAAATATTAAGCATAGAGTTTTGATATGATCCAGCAATTGTACTCCTAAGTATGTACGTACCCGTGAGAATAAAAAGCACATATGTCCACACAAAAATTTCTACACAATGTGCATAGCAGCACTGTTGATAATAGCCAAAAAGTGGAAACAATCCAAATGTCCATCAACTAATGGTAGATAAACAAAATGTGATGTATCCTATACAGTAGAATATTTCTCCACAATAAAAAGGGATAAAGTACTGACACATGCTACAACGTGAATACACCTTGAAAACATTATGCTAAGTGAAAAAAGCCAGTCATGAGAGGCCACATAATTTCGAATAAAAATGCCCAGAATGGGCAAATCCTTAGAGACCAAAGTAGGTTGGGGAAAGGAGGAAGCAGGAGGGAAGCTAAAGGGTGCAGGGTTTTGGGGGTGATGAGAATGTTCTCAAATTGATGGTGGTGGTGGTTATGCAAGTCTATGAACATAATAAAAGTCATTGAATTGTACACTTTAAATGGGTGTGCATTATATATGAATTCACTTCTTAGGAACAAAAGAAAGAAAGGCGGGAGGAGGCAGAAGCAAGGAAACACTTCCCACCCGGTCTCTTCCTGCTCTGATGACAGATGGCTCTCTTTGCTTCCACAGCTATGAAAGCGCCAACATCGAAACCTTCTTCAGTGGGAGCTGGTCCATCTTCTGGGTCAAGACGGCCTCCTGCTGGATGTGCGTGCTGTTATACCTGTGCACACTGGTCGCGCCCCTCTGCTGTCCCTCTCGGCAGTTCTATGTGTGAGATCTGAGCAATCCTCTTGGTTCCGGCCTCCAGGCTGGAAACGACGTCCTTCGAACAAGTGTCTCAAGTCACTGAGCAGTGTGACTGGCGCTTTGTGAAAAGCTGGCATCCTCTGGCTGGCTCGAGGGTGTCTGAAAAGGCTTTCAGGAAAAGGAAAAAAAAAAAAAAAACACCTGATAAGCTTTTTAACTCTGAAATTTGAAAAGAAACTACCAGATTATCCCAAAAGAATTGAATATTTCAACCAAGCTGATACTGAGTGATAATATATATTTCGTATATGTCTTTTCCCTAAAAACAAGGAAAGCAGTTGGGCTTGTGTTCTCCTTCCGCATGTCTTTACCAAAGCAGTTTGGGGCACGACATCTCACAGGGATGAAAACTTACCTTGTGTGGCCTCTCATTTTCATCCTTGGAAAAGAAAACACGCCAAACTTATGGCCCCTCGGCTCCTGCCAGAGTGCAGGCCCCTCTTCACACCGTGGCCTGCCGAGCTCTTTCCACAGCTCCCCGGTATTTACAGGGTACCGGAGGAAGCACCTGCTTTTCACTCCACCCTTGTGTGGCCTCCTCCTGGCCCCCAGGTGTTGTGATGCTGGGAATCACAGACTTCACATTCTGCCATCACTCTTCCTAGAGGTCCCCTCATCCTTTCTGGGTTCAGCATCTTTGTTATAATGTGAAAAAGCACAATTCGCCATCACCAACCTGCGTGATCTTCCGTGTTATCACTACCTGATCCGAGTTACTGCAATAATTATGACTCTTTGTGGTGTTATTCACATGATTATAGAATGGGATTCATGTTGTGTCCTTTGTCTAGATGATGGAGGGCTGTAATTATTACTCGTTTGTGCTTTTAATAGTGATAATTCTTCAGGACCTCACCTGAAAAGTTGCTTCTTGACTGAAGCCTGCTGCCCTGCCGTTTCAGTAAGGTCAGCCCCTCAGTTTCTCTTCCACCTCGAGGCCTTTGAAATGGTAAAAGCAAAAGGGATCTGCAGTGCTACCACACTCTTAATGTCCATTATGGTTTTTTGGGGAGTAGATTTGCTGAGGTGAGGATCCCACCACCTCAAACAGAGCTGACCAGATAAGGCCTATTAACTAGCTGTAGAAGTGACCAGATATACTTAGAAGAAAAGGTGGGTGGTGGAGGTGTTTACTTAAGCCACAAACAACATCCACGGAAATTTCCAAAGTACGTACTTGTGAAGTAATACTCACGAGAGAATGGACTTTGTGCAGTTGCCATTTTCAGTGTTGATGTACTCAGTTAGGGAAGCGTTAACTCAGTGGAAAGTCCCTTAGAGACCCCAGTGGAGACAAGGCGGGGATGCCCCTGTTAGTATTTCATGCAGGATGGAAAGAATCCTCCCAAACTCCCTGGCAGAGAGGGTCTGAGAATGAAAAGATTGGCCTGTGCCCTACTGTATGAGTTGGGTAGAATTGGGCCTCACTCAAGCTGGGCTGTAGTGTACCACAATACTGGTGCAGGAAATTAGTCAAATTCTTTATTTCTACTCTTTTGCCCTCCTTCCAAGAAAATAAGGGTGGGGAGGGGATACAAATACAATGGATGAATTCATCTAGGAATTTGCCTTATTGATAGTATCTGAGATTCAGGTTTAAAAGACACTCATTATATGTGTATGGGAGAGCCTTGTTTTGTAAACTTTATCACATTTCTTTTTTTAGGCAGGAGATCTTTGTGCTCAGCAATTGAAAGATGCTGGAGTCACAAAATGAATAGCCGCCACGTGCAGCCCCCATTAAGCAGGTGGGGGTTGAACTCTGTGGATCAGAGCAGGTTGAGGGAGCTGGGGACATGTGTGTGTAGCAGCAGCTTCCTGGCAGAGGCCACTGCAGTGGATGGTGTAATGACACAGGGCTCTGAGTAATCGAGATTGGCTTTTAGGAAAGACCACAAGCAAAGGCAGGTCACGAGAAAAGGCAGATCAAGAGCTGGGGTTGTATCAGTGACCAGTTTTATGTTTTCTTCCCACTAGCTGGGTCTGGCAGCCAGTTGTGTGACTTTAGAACTGGTCTTTACAGCAGGTCAAGGTTAAGCTAACAAGGCTGTGTACTCCTTGGCTGGCCCTTGTTGACCCCCTTACCTTGCAGAAAGAAGCTCGGGGAAATGACATTGCCAGTGGCAGGGCCCTTGGAGCTTCCTTCCTTAGTTGCCCAGGCAACCCACCCTTTTCCAGCTGTCTAAGACTTGGTCTGTGGCCTGAAGTTCCTTTCTGAAGGAAGGTTGGTTTGACACAAGAGAAATAGTTATAGTCACCTGGTTTTTATTCTTAACTGAGATTTCGAGCAAGTTTATCTGAATGATTGAGAGACAGTAGATGTGCTCTGAGGACTACGGACATATAAATAAGTTGACTTTAATAAATAATTAATTGTAATAAACAATACTCAGGTGATGAGTCAATATTCATAGGTTTAAAGAACCTACATTTTTGTGCTGTTGTGATTTAAGAAACTGGAAAAATTGTGCCAATTGCTTTGAGTTGCTAGAATGATGGTGTTCATCTGATAAATTCATTTTTAAATAATAGACTTTTGCTTCCTATGACTTTTGTACATGATTTTTAAAGTGCACTTCCAGAAGCTGCTGGTCAGACTCCTTTAACAATGAAAGCCGAAGAAGAGTTTTTAAAACTTCTGTGTATGTTTTCTTTGTGCTATTCATCCCATGTGGAAATTTCCCCCCTTTCATTTCCATGAGTAAAAACACTGAGTGTGGAAAGGGATTCTTCAGGTAGTGTTGCTGTATACATGTCATCTGACTGAAGACCAGAGAGTTTTCTATCAAAAGCTTTCGGACACTCTTTGTCCTTATTCGGTCTTGCTTTTGTTGGTTTTGCTTTTGCCTTTGCACTTTTTTGGGAAATGGCTTGAAGGAACTGTTCGCCAGAGGTATTTTGGAGCCCTCGTATAATGGACTGTGCATGTGGGCAATTGGAGGGTGGGGTTACTGGGGATTTGGGGTTCTGGTGCCCATCAGAAATAGCCAGCAGGGGTTTCCCACAGCACATTGTTTATTTCCAGTTCCTCAGAGGTTCCTTCATTATGGATGGCCTCCATGCAGTGCTAGTTCCTCCGCTCTCCTCCCCTCCACCAGTTGTCACCCTCTGCCTTTTTAAAATTACGTACTTACTTAATTTTGGCCAGAAATTTACTACCATTGGTGCTTCATGTTACCTGCAAAGAGAGAATTCCAGAGCCTATATTTAAACTGCCTGAACTTTTTTCTCCCTTGACTGCCTTCCCAAATAGCATCTCATTTTAATGTGCATTAGTGTCCTGCCCCTTTTAGAAATGAAAGAGGGTTTATCCTATAACTAAGGGTGTGACCATGGGCTAAGGCCCTGCATGTCCAGAGAGAACACTGGCCTCCTTAATTAAAGACAGTGCAGTAGACACTTGGTTCATGGAATTCTCTGTAGGACATTCTTCTTAATTTACTATTAGCACTAACTCTATATGGCTTTGTTCTTAAAGCCACCATGTTTCCTGCCATCTTTACTATATTGGTAAAGCCTCACACATTTTAATCTAGTGTTGCATTTCAGGTAGAGATGGGCTCTCTAATATTGGACTTACTTCAAAGGACTGGAGGGTTCTTCACACAGGTCTTTTGAACTAATTCTAGCTATTCTAAGATCATGGTTTTTTTCCTTTCCTTGGTAAATCATTTGCAGAGTTGTTCATTTTGAAAGGGGAAAATATTTGGCTTTTACCAAAGAGGTGTTTTTGTTTTGTTTTAAATCAAAATCCTTTCAGCAAAAACTTAATTGGAGAAGGGTAGATTAAGAATGAATATGTCCAAATTCACTTCTGTAGGAGTTTAATCATATTTATGTGGGAAAAATGATGGGAGAATAACTCTTTAAGCTAATCCTTTGGGATGATGGATCCTGGGAAATTCTCTCAGGTAAGCAAAGCTTGTAGCAGATGTGTAATATATGTCTTGAGAGCTATTTATAAGAAATTTAAGGGGATCGTGTTTTCATTTATTAAAGATTTAAGTTTTTTTACTTTGTAAAAAAAAACTACAAAAATTTTATAGTCATAACTTTTTAAAATTTTTAAACTTTTTTGAAACAATTAGCTGTAGCCAAATCATGTGGTTATGTTTTGCTATATTAGAATTTGAAAATGTAACGTGTGGTAAATCTACTGTTCGAAATTTGTAATGGTCTCAGATATGGTTAGCGTTTGGATAACTTTCTAAATAGTTTTTTCCTCCTTTAGTCACAAAAGCAGTTGTGGGTTGATATTAGTTTTTTGAAGTGTCCGAAGTTGACTAGTCTCTTACTATGTAAAAAACTCAAAACTTGTTAACTCTGTACTTTTAATAAAATTTAAAACTGAAAACATGTTGTTTTTTCTCTCTTCTGATGGATACATTTACAATTAAAATCCTCCAGGTAGTGTTTTCCAAGATGTTTGTTGTCTTCAAATGTTAATCAGCTCTCTTAAGTTTCTTAGTCTGTTCTGATTCTTGAAGGAAAATATGAACATGAAAACCAAAGCTTTTTGGTTCTTTTTTCCTATTAATGCTAGTTATACAGTGTCTTCAGTATGAGAATTAAAGTAAGTCTTTAAAGAAGTAGTGTGAGTCCTCCCATGTGATTCTTTTTCAATATTTAGCTATTCCACATCTTCTGCATTTCCCTTTAAAGTTTAGAATTACCTTGTGAATTCCTTTGACTGGGATGGTATTGAGTCATTAGATCAGTTTGAGAAGAACTGACATCATAATAGTAAGTCTTCTGATAAATATTAAATACTTAATACTGTTTTATTACAATATCTTTATATAGGATTTAATCTTGATACTTCTTCGTTTTTGTGAGATTAGTTTTCTAAATTTTTTAGGTAACATAACATAAAATTTGCCATCTTAGCCATTTTTAACTTCTACGTGGCGCATCCAAGTTCCAGACCTGTTTTCACGTTGCGTAGCTGAAACTATACTCATCAAACAGCAGTCCCGTGTTTGCTCTTCCACCAGCCCTGGAAACCACTGTCTCTGTCTCCTTGCTGTCTCTATGAATTTGTCATTTGCTCTTTTTTTCCCCCCTCTGTTTTTTCCCAGATAGATACTAATACTGTTAAGGTCTTTTGGCTTTTGATGATTCATCCATCCCACTTGTGCTTTGGGGTTTACCACTTTTTGTTGTAAATATTGTCCATGGGGTTTGGTTATGCTATCTAGTTGCTCTTTTTAAGTGGGAATTCAGAAAGATCCAAAAACTATGCTCTGCCGTTGCCATCATTCTTCCATTCACTCTTGAACCCACCACAATAAGGCTTTGTCAGAAAGTGCTTTCCAGGGTCATTGGTAAAACCTCCATGTTGCTGAATGTATTATCCTCATCTTTCTTACCAGAAGCGCTTGACACTATTAAATAAATTGCAAACTTTATTCAGATTTCACTGGTTTTTACATACACACATCCCCACGTTTTGAAGTGATTACTGTTCAACTTGCACTTAAGATCATGGGAGGCAGATAACTTGTCTTGTTAGTTCTCATGTCTCTGCGCCCACAGAACCACACCCAAAGAACCACCCCTGCGAGCACGACTGGACCTGATTTAGTTCTTAGTTCCGCCCTCTAGGTCAAATTTTCTTTTCCACAAAAAAAGGCCCAATTTTCAGCTGAACAGGTTGCTTAGCTGCTTCCTGCCCAAAAGTGATTGAGAGCTCAGTGGCCTCAGTTTAGAAGGTCTCTGTCCGTTTTAGTGTAAGCTGGTCAAGCTTTTGTTTAATTTGCTTAAAAATGTTTTCTATGAATCTTCACTATATTTAGATAAAAACCAACCCCACCAATCTTTTCCAGACAGAGCCCCCCTGAACTTTGGGTTACGGTTCAGAGTGTGACAATACCCTTATCCTTGCAGAAACCATTTTGTCCAGCAGAGATTAAGGAGGCACAAGCCTAAGATTCTCAGACGTCTTTTTGTCTAGCCAGGAAAATTTGAGAAGCATTTTCTTAAAATTTTCCAAGATCTTAAGATCTTTATCTTGACCCTGAGACCGCATTTTACTTGTGTCATCTTAGACATAATATGTGGGTAATAAAATAAGTGTTGTTGAAAAATACTTCATTGACTATGTTTTGGATGTATCGTTTAATGAAAAATAATTTAGAAAACTATATATATACAGCGCGATCCAACTCCTGTGTATATGAACTGTTAACGAAAAAGTTATCCTGATACTTATTATAATGGTAACAATTTTATTCAAGACTTCTGCAGCAGGGCAGAGAAATCAGGCACAACTCTGAATACAAGGACAGACAGGGATTTATAGCCAACAAAGGAGGGTGTCCAGTGGCCAGAAAGTTAAAAGAGGAGACATCTAGGGTAAAGGGATTCTTGCTAAAGGTAGGCCAAAGACTTTTACATCAAAGATGGAGGATGAAGAACTTGATTAGATATCAGGGGTGGGGGGGACTCTTGCTAAGAGTAGGCTATGTAGGCCCAGTAAGGACAAGATGGACTCGGAAGGCCAAGGTCAAGGCCTAGTCAAGAAGAGTGCCCAGAGGAGCTTGATTAAAGTTTGGTCAAGGAGAGGGTCTTTATTAACATACACGTGCTTGCCCATTCAGAGAAAATGTACTCAAAATGTTCATCTATTGTTTTGTCTTCACAGCAGCACACCTAGGCTGCTTCTCCCGCTCCAAATTTTTGGGCATTGTTCACATGGTTGTAGAAGGAGTAGCTATGTTCTTTCCCCACAGTTGTCATAGCTACAGTTAATTGATCTGGAAGTGGACTTTCCATCTAAACTGGGCAGTCAGCCTCTCTGGAAATTTGAACTTAGAAGTGAAAGTGTTGGGAAACTTAACAGCTGTTGTTAGTGACTATTTTCGGCATGGACACAGAGAAAGCCAATTTGCAGGAAGATAGAAGATTAAAGCAGTTGTGCAGAGTGGTTGTGAAGGAGAAGGTAGAGACTGGGGAGATGGTGAGGGGAGGAGGGAGAGAGGGAGCTAATGAGAATGAATGGATTTCTTAAGGTGTTCCAATTCCCAGTTCTATTCCATTCTGGTGGCCCAGCTTAAAATAATGATAGCTAATGTTTATTAAACCCTTAATTGTGTCTGGAATAATTCTCACAACGATTCCATGGACGTTACTGTTCTAGTTCTCGTTGTACACATGAGGGGAAAAAGGCAAACTTTTGTCAAAATCCTTACTAAATGCAATTGTTTTTTCAGAGGTAGCCAAATCTCACCTCTCCCTTGTCTCCTTTTCCCATCTCCTTTTCTTTACCCACCCCCACTGAAGGTCTCCTTTAGGTCAATCTTTCCTTTCTCTGTGTAGAACTTTCTTTTGGTTTCTCTATTGGGATAACAATTATATCAGTAGGGAATTGCATTTGAGTAACAGAGACTGAACCTCGGGGGGCTTAAAACACCTGGGATTTGGGTTCAACATCTCATGGATGTCAGGTCGAAGTTCACTGTGAATTTCTGGCTTTTGTGGCTCCAGGGTCTGCTTTGAAGATCCATCTTATTTACATTTCAGGCAGAAACCAGAGGAAGGGCTCAGGGCTCCCTGGAGAAAAGCATATTGCATAGTCTAGGCAGGAAATATGAGGACCTGGAATATCTTGTTATTGCCAGAAAGCAGGAATACTTTCAAAGACATTTTGATGACAAGCTGTTATGCCTACTAATGAATTTTATCTAGAAATAAATTTGTAATCATTACAGTATTTTATACATATTTTTCTGCCTTTTGAGGTGAGTGAAGAGACTGATGAATAAGACCTAATAAAAAAAACTCAGAAGATCCAGGTAATTAAATTTAAAATCAATGTTAAAATGTTTCAGTCAAAACTTGTTAAATTTTATAAGGTTAAACTTTTCAGATAGCATGTTTTAAATGTTTAGAATGATTTTGTCTATAGAAATGAGGTTTTTGTCGGGTGTTTAAAGGGCTTGAGAAAGTCAAATGTATTAAAATTAGACTGTACTTTAAAATTTCCAAAACTTAAAAAATGTAATAAATATTTGGGTGTATTTATCAAATTTATAAGCCAAGTAGGCATTAATTAAAATAAAATTGGATAATAAAATATTAACACAAAATTCATTCAATTTGTAAATAAAATAACACTTAAGTTTAAAGGCTTAAAATTAATTTAAATATATAAAAGATAAGTTGAAACTCTATTTATTTCAATGCATAAAATTTCTCTTCAGACAAAAATACAGTTGACCACTTGGGTGTGTCCACCAGTGTAGGCAAAGTCATGCTGCGGTAACAAGCAACTCCAAAAGCCTCGGTGGTTTATAGTGACTAAAGTTCAATTCTTGATGGTGCCACATGTCTATTGTAGGCCATCTGCAGCTCTTCTCTGAGTTCTCTTCACCCTGCTGTTCGAGTGTTGCAAACTAGGCCACTTTGGCAGAAGGGTTATTTCGAACGGAAGGCAATTGAGAAGAACCGGATACAAAAAAACTCTCTGCCCTCTCTCTATCTGCCTGAAAACAGAACATAAGTTTATAAAGGTGACCTTCTCTCCAGCAAGTAGGACAAAGGTTAATCCCTGGAGACCCCTATTAGTGTTAATGGAGAAGGCATTAACTTAAATCTGCATAACACCGTACTCTGTTTACCATGCTTTCTCTGTTCACTTCCCCATAAGTGGCCTCCTCACAACTTTCTTTTGTCTTCAGAGGAAGATAATATTTAAGCCTGAATTCTAAGCCACTTCTAAGAGTTACTCATTTTCCCCTGGTTATCTCCCATGTGTACATGAGGTACACATGTTAAAAAACTTATGTTTTTCTTTTGTTAATATGTCTTTTATTATAGGGGTCTCAGCTAAGAACTCAGAAAGGTAGAGGTAAAATTACTTTTCCTCCCCTATAACATGTCAATACATTTTTGGTTGTTCTATTTTTCTTTTCTTAATTTCTTAATCTTTGTTATATAGGTCCCAGCCTAGAACTTTGAAGGGTTAGAAGGAAAGTTATTTCTCTCTCCTACACTGATATCATGGAAGAGAGGAAGAGAACATGGCAGAACCACATGGTGACTCCTAAAGCTTCTGCTTAGAGGTGGCATAACTAACTTCTGTTTTCATTGCATTGATTAAAGCAAGTCTCATGGACAGTCTTGAGGTCAGCAGGGTGGAGATAATCCTCCCATAAGGAGGTTGCTGTAATCACATACCCAAGGCTGGTGCAATGAGTCAGGGAAGTATTATCCACCCTCAGTGGGGCAAATATTTTGAACAATAGTATACCATAACAGGGATTAAGGAGATTTTTAAAAAATTCTCATGGTTTACTTTTTTCCCTAGTCACATATGTTTTCAATGTGTCTTATAGAAATCATTGTTTTTGGATGTTGGAATTCTGATTTTAATTTTATTCTTTGAAAATTTCAATAAATATATATGTCTTCTGTAGCTAGATTAAAACTTTTTAATTAAAAATTTGTAGCCAGATTAAAATTTATAAATTTTATTTGGACAAAAAAGGCAGTGGATAAATAATTTGTTGTTTTTAATATAGGAAGGGTGGTATGTATAAAACAGTGTTTTAGAAAGATATATCTCATAATATTGAAAGAAAATAATGTACATTGGAGAGCTTGTGTTTGAGGCATATCTCTATTCAACCTGTCAGCTTAAAAAGAATGTGGCTATGAAATGAAATGTTTGTTAAATAAATAGATAAATCGGTAGATGATGAATGTTGGTTAGTTGGCTGGAGAGAGCACAGTTTTGTGATGGCTTAGAGACATCTTATATTACAAGACACATTCTTTTGTGGTTATCTGGCTGATGTCATGAAATTCTGATTTTGCCAGTAGGGAAGATTATATTTCTCCTTGGCTGGAAACTTCATAGTTAGTACATTTAGGATCTTATTGCATATTGTCACAGCAAAACTTTTGTGCTTAGCTGACTCTTCATTTGCTTCCGATTTTACAGTCAGTACTGATCTTACTGATGAACTTGCTTTTTATAATCCAAATTGGATCTCTGCCTAGCTGGCTGTTTTTGTCTCAATTTTACTTGGTCGTCAAGACTAACTCAGATTTTCAGTTCTTCCCCATTTTGGCATTTTAGTGTATTCAACTGAATTTTCATAATGATAACCCTAAAAGGTTATTCTCTTCCTATTTGAAAAATAAATATGGTGGAGGTAAATGACATCACCTAAATGAGAACAGTAAAGGCTATCCAGAGCTTGCTATATAGCAGGGGAGTTAACTGCTGTCACTTGCACTTGGCATAACTCAAAGGCAGGAAGAGGAATGAAAAAGTTTTATAGTGGAAAAAAGGGAAAGTTTCCATTATGCTGATTGGATGCGGGTAGCATGGGAAGCTGTAGGTGGGCTAACTAGCAGTGGGGCAGCCCACGTGATTGGTTAGAATGCATATTTAACTTCCTCCAGTTTGTCTTAAGTTGGAAGTCGGGCAAAAATTAGGGAAAATGTCAAATCCTGGCCATTTTAGATCGATTGCTATAAGGGTTATTTGGCTTTCTGGACTAGTAGCTACAGGTTGTGGGTCACAGTTCTCTTTTTATATATAGGCTGGCCATTGTTTGTGTATTCCATACCTCATGAGATAATCTGTATCTACTTCCTTTACCAATAGCTTAAAAAAAACTTCTTAAATTTACCTGGTTAAGATGCAGGGGGTAGAGAGGTGTCAGTTGGCCGTATCTAATTACCAATGACTATTCTTTTCTACTATTTGTGTCAGACTTATATCATCATCATCACCTTTATCATTTCTAATATTGTTTAGCACTTAATATGTGCTAGGTACCAGGCTCAGTGCTTTACCCAAATCACCTCAGTTAAAGCTCCCACCAGTTGTATGAAGTAGGTACTAGTATTATCCTATTTTAAAAATGAAACGGGCTCAGAGGTGATCTCCCATCTGCGGTTGTACAGTGAGTAAGCGACAGAGCGAGAAATGGACCTCAGGTCTGCCTTACCCCTGAGACGTGGCTTAAGAAGTTCCCTGTATCGCTGTCTCTTGTAGTAATTTCTCACGATCATGCTTAGTCACTGTGGTTAAGGGCTCCACCATTTCAGGTCAGCAGAGCCAGAGGGATGACTAATAGGCTCCATGAACCTGACTCTTCTAGTACAGCCAACCCCTGGGCTGCAGTTTGGTACTGGTCCCTGGCATGTTAGGAGCCAGGCTGCACAGCAGGAGTGGTGGGTAAGTGAGGGAACCTTCCTCTATATTTGCAGCTGCTCCCCAGCACTAGCATCACCTCCTCAGCTCCCCCTCAAATCGTCAAGCATAAGATTCTCATAGGAGCACCCTGGTGCCAAAAAGGTTGGGGACCGCTGTTCTAGTATACAGCATACCCCCCTCCAGGCTGAAGCAGGCCTGGCTCCACTCATGTTTGTTAAGTGGTGAGTGAATGGATGGAAAGAGATGCCAGCTGAGCTCTGCCTACTTCAAGGTCACTAGAGGGGAGTATATGACATCCTCTTGGAGGTAAGCCACCAATTTCTGAGTTCTGTTACTGAGCTTCTGTCCACAGTTGGGGAGAAAGAAGGCGAGGACTCTCTCTCACTTCCTGTCTCACCCCACAGGGCACGGATAAGGCATACAAGTCCTAGAGATGGAAATAGGGATATGGACTAAAGTTTCCCATGATATTCGTAGTGATCTTGATTAACTTACTGTTCAGGCAAAGGACAGTGCGGGGTAGGGGGGGAAAGGAACAAGGCTAGATTTTCACTTCTCTTTCCCAGAAACTATCAATCTTACGAGTTTAACAAGAGTATGGAAAGTCTCTAGCCCTGACTCTGACAGGACAGCCTGGTTTTAGAGTTTATAAAGGTGATCGACTATAGCTTGCTTCTGTCCCAGGAGGAGAGAGACAAGATGGAGTGCCAGAGGGGTCAAAGGAATCTGTTAAGCAGCCCAGTCGAGGATTTCCCTCCTTTTAGAATTTTTCCCAGTTGACAGGAGGGGCAGGAATCCCACTGAAAGTTTGTTAAAGAGCCATAAAAAAGTTTAGGTGGCCTTGTTTGCACAGAGTAACTGCAACCTGATCTTTATTTCTTGCAATACTCTTCTGGCCTCCAGAAGTTCAGCTGGCATTGAAATTATATTTATTAAATCAGCATATTGATACTTTAAAAGAAATAAATGTAAAATAGCAAAAATCTAGTCTTTCATGTAGTAAACAGTAAAGAAATATTCACTTTTTCAACAAAATTGTTGAGCACTTACTGTTAAATTTGTCAAATTATAAAACCATGAAAACAACTCTTGCCCTCAATTCGTTCAGAGTTTGTTTGGGGAAATTATTATGCAGCTATTGAAAATTTGGGAACCCCAGTGTGGAATTGTATACCAACTACACATATGCACATAAAAGATCGAAAGGACATTTTTCAAAAAGTTAAAACGTTATTCTTGAGTTGTAGAATTGCAGGATCATTTCCTTTTTTATTCTTTTTAACATTTTCTAAATCTTCTAAAGTGAGTTGCATGCTTTTGATAATTAAGAGGGGAGAGGGGAGATGTCATTAAAAAGTGATTGTAACTGATTAGCTGCAGCTCTCCATCTCTGTTGCCAGCTGATCCTCTGCCTTTGGCAAGAGATGAATTTAGAGAGCCTGGAAGCCCTGCCAGGAAAAGTGCAATTAACCACAATGAATCCACCCTGGGGCCTGGCCAGCCCGGGCTGGAGGGAGGGAAGGTGCACAGAAGCCCATCTGGAGAGGGGCTGTGTTCTTCTCAGGGACACTACAAAATTGAGCCGTGCCCACCTATGGATTTCCGGGGCCCTAACTTAAAGATGAATTGCTGGTGCTGGACTGAAAGCTGAGTAAACGCTGTCTTGGCTCTGGGGCTGTGTGCCTGCCTTGAAGCGTGAGGAAATGTGGCTGGACAGAACTCAGGGCGCGCTGCATCCCCCTCTGAGCCGCCTGGAAGAGCATCACACTTCCCTCCAAACAACCACCAAGCTGCTTGCTGGGAGTCCGGATTTCTGCCAGAATACATTTGAGACTAAGTTCCCTCCTGCTCGAATGTCTAGCGCTTTCCCACTCTGACCAGTAACATCTGCATCACCAGGGGGAAATGAAGAAGCTCAGGACCTCGTCCCAGACTGGCTGACTCAGAATCTGCATGCTAACTAATCCCCAGGTGACTCAAGAGCTGACTTGAGTGTGCATAGCACTGCTAACTCACCTCTCAGGTGGGCTGTAGAGGAGCCTCTTGGTGGGCAGCCTCACCTTCAGTCAGGTGGGCTAACAGCAGAAGTGGCTCCCGGGCCAGGGCAGCTGGAGAGAGTACTGGTTAATGTCCTACATCTGCTATTTAGGGTGAAGGAGGCTGAACAATAGCCTATTTCAGGGCAACCTTCTCTAGGAATGTGGGGTGCTTAGTGGGTGATCTCTCCCTGTCTCACAGGATCCCTGGAGCTTTAGGAAGCAGAAGGTATTATTTTAATTTTCCAGATGGTTTTATGGCGATCGGGAGGAAGGGAGCTGGGATGTTGCCAGTCTACTGAGAAAACTCAGAGCCTTTTCTGTCTAATAGTGCCAGCTGGCTCTCGGGCCAGATATGAAGGCTGTGTCCAGGCACACCATCATTCTAGCTCTCCAGGGATTTTGCCAGTCGGGCTGCTGGGTTTTCTCATCACGGCCAAGGCTCTGCATTGGGGCTGCTCAGAGGTATAAAGACACCTGGGCCACTTTCATTTTCTGAAGGGTAGTGGTGATGGTTCCCAACAAAATGCAGAAATGCTAGAACAGGTTAAGATGTTATAGTCTTTGTGAAATATTTACATAAAAAATTAATGTTTAAAAGCAATGTTGAATTTAACAGTATATTGGTTTGATAGGGCTGCCCTAACAATGTACCACAGACTTGGTAGGGAGGCGTTACATTTCCCCGAAGGGAAGGAGAGGCCACATAGGGAAGTGACAACTGAATTAGGCTCTGAAGAGTGAACACAGAAGACTCAAGTAGGGTGCAGGTCTTGAAGCCGCCTATAGCTCCATGTCCGGCACTTGAAGATGAAGCCTAGGGTGGGAGATGCCGGCTCCAACCCAGTCACCAAGGATGGAAGCCTGTGACGGCCCGAGTGCCAAGGGCATTTTAAAGACTAGACCAAGTTAGGAGAATGGCAGGAAAACGTGTTTGCAATATTAACTCAAGGATTTTCCCACTTGGCCATCCACTGCCCCACCTTCCTTGAACTTTAAAGCAACTGACTTCCAGGCCCTTTGCTTCAGGTGAGGAATGTGACAGAGAGGAGAGCAGGACCTGGTCTCAAATTCTAAAAGCCTAAAGCAGCTTCCCCCTACCCACATGGACAGGATTCTGGATCTAGCCTAAGTATTTGGGTTACGGGATGAGAGGGTGATTTCCTCTGAACATGAAAAAGATCCCTCTAGGTGGGGAAGCGGGGGAGAAGGCAAGGCAATGACAGACAGTACAGAAACGGTGGTTCCTAGGGTGAGAGTAGGGGATGTCCTGTGCCCTGAGACTGGAAAGAGCCCTGGGGGAACCCAGGGAGGAAATGGCTTGTGTGGCATGTTCAGGCAGAGGTGACGCCTTGGTTTCTAGAGGTTCACGTCCCAGTGTGATTCAGAGCAGAGCAAGTTCCTTCCCGAGACAGCTGCGGGAGTGGCAGTGACGCTTTAGCTTTAAAAGGACCATGACCTTGAAAGGTCTCCTGTTCCACTGACTGTGGGCTGACTAGGGGAGTGATGCCTCACTGGGCGTGTAGGGCAGCTGCACTGCATACCCCCAGAGATCTATGTAGTAGATGGAATTTCAAAGATCTCTACCCTTCCCTGAGGCACTCTCCCATCACCTGGTTATTCAAATGCCAATTTCTTACGGCAGGGAAGGGACTTTGCAGGTGGAATTAAGGTTACTAATCAGCTGACGTAAAGTAGGGACGTTAGCGTGGAAACCCAGGTGAGCCTGAGGGAACCAAGCAGAAAAGGAAGGCTGAGGCGTCCATCAGGCGCAGCAGAGGGCCAAGCCGGAGATTTTTCCAGGCGTGAGAAGGATTTACTGCCTGGTTGGTGGTGCTAAGGGCCTGTGTGCAAGGCCCAGAGAGACCTCTGGGAACCAGGGTGACCCGGCTGACAGCCAGCAGGGGAATGGGGACCTCATTCCCTCAGCTACTGCAGGAGTAGAACTGAACTGGGCCGTAAAGCCTGAATGCGCGCAGAAGACGACTGTCCCTAACGTCTCTGGTAGAAGCCCCGCTCGGCCATGGCTGATTTTAGCGCCTGACCTACAGAAACCGTGAGCTAGCATATTTGTGCTATTTTAAGCTGCTACATTTGTGGCAATGTTTCACAACAGCAATAGAGTTTTGGGATGGTGCACTTGAGTGTCTCTGGTTGCCCATGTGTCTGGAGGGTGTCACACACTGTTACTCTGAGCTCTGTACAACCTCAAAGCGCGGGGGGAGGTTCAGGGGGTGGGCAAATTCCAAATTAGATTATGCTTCTGCCAAGTGGGATGGGGATCAAAACAAATTAAATTCAGCGATAAAAAGCTTGTTTTCTGTGCACCTGAATCTGTGGGCTGAGAGTGAGACCCACTTCGGGAACTTTCATAGAGATCTCACATTCGATGGGGTTAGAATGGTGGCTTTGTAAATGCTGAGAGTTTCTCTGTCCGGGTCAGCATTTTAAAGGAATGGAGCGCAGGAGAGAGAGGCAGATAGGACAGAGACTCCGACCTGCCCTGTGCTCTGGCACCTTCCACCAGCCCAGCTGCTCGTCCTACTGGGGAAGCGCTGGGGGCGTTGCTGCTTGGGAGGAAGTGTAGTCAGCTGTGTGAATTTCTCAGAACCGCCCAAGCTTCTGCTTTGTCTGGCTTCCCAGCTGGGGAAGAGAAGGGGTTCCTGTTCCACAGCCTGAGCAATCCCTAGGACGGTCCCTGAGTGACATGTGAGAAGAGAAGGAGGGCCGAGATTGGTGGTTGCCAGAGGTTGGGGGTGGGGTGTTGGATGAACTCAGTGAAAGGGATCAAAAGGCTCAGACTTCCAGTTATAAAATAAGTAGGTCATGGGATGTTGCGTACAGCATGGTGACTACAGTTAATAATACTGTACTGCATGTTTGAAAGTTGCTAAGAGAATAAATCTTAAAAGTTCTCACCACAAGAAAAAAAATTGTAACTATGTATAGTGATGAATGGTAACTTGTGGTGGTGATCATTTCACAATACATGAAAATATTGAATCATATGGCGTACACCTGAAATTAACATAAGGTTATATAAGTCAATTAAAAAAATAGTGACAACAGTGCTGACGGCATCCCGGGTCACCGCAGGAGATCCTATGTAAGGTGTTCTATCAGTAGTTGGAGGAAAACGCTTACTAGGACATTGGGCGTATGTTGCTCCGTAGTGGTATTCATGGTTTTTGGTTGTCTCACCCTCACTTCCTAATATCATCCTTTTTGGGGACTGCAATCCTGGGTATAGTTGTGGTGGAGTCAGTGTCC